GGCAGCGCCCGCGCCGGTGGGACCACAGCCCCCCAGGACCCGGGGCCGGGAGCCTGGAGCTGGATGGCGCCACGGGATCCCAGTTTGGCCATCAGATCCCTTCAGGGACCAACCCCAGCATTAGCCCAGGTTTAACTTTAATTCATGCACGGACCTGAAAGAGCTAGACCTTTGACGCAGTGAGTTGCTTTCATGTAATTCTAGTGACGAGGACGTCCTGTGCATGCAGGCGCAGCTGCAGCGCGGATCGCTGCACGCACGGATAAAACCTGGGATGTGGGGAAGTTGCTGCCAAGTCGCAAGAGAAAGTAGATCTATTTCATAACGATGGTGGCGTCATCTCGGCTCTGTTTTACTGAGGTTGACATAAAACCTCTCAAATGATGACAAAGGTGTGAAATATAGTTGGCTCGAGTGGGAAAAAAACCGAAATGTGGAATGCAGGAGCGCTGACATTTGGTATCTTCAGCACGGCTTCTTAATATTATTTATGGCTTTTACCAATTTTTTCAAAATTATTTTAATCTTCTTATGGTTTCAGTCACTTTCTCTGAACAATGTTTCTTTTATTTCTGGAATACCGTGGCAGCAAAGTGCTGCAGCTGAGCCCTGCTTTGCCACAGGGAGCCGGCCACCCCAGGCCTGGGCGGCTTTCTTGGCTGAACCGGATCAGAGGAGGCTTTTTGGTGTAACCAAGGAGTGTCGGAGCACGTGCCCTGCGCTGTGGGACGTGAAGTGTCTGGGCTGGCGTCTGCAGACCCAGGGGAGATCAGGGTGGTTTGGATACTTGAGACTGTCTTGCCTTGCACTCAGAAATGTATTTTGGCAGATTTTCCCTCCCCTGTGGCTGTTTCCTAGTGAAAAAATCCCCTTGTGTGAGGCATCGTGCCGAAAGCACCATTCTGTCAGCCGGCCGTCCCAGAAGGGATCTGATCTGCAGGGCTGCTGAGTACCTTTGACTCGTTTTACTTCAACTGAAGGCAGCTGCATCCTCTGGTAATTGATCCCCAAATACTTTAGCTTCTAATTAGCAGATTCAGAAAGTCCCAGCAACTAAGATAAAGTCAGCTGGAGAAGTGGACTCCTGTTCAGTGCCCACCAGTGTTACTGTTACGGTTGGACTTGATGGTCTTAAAGGTCTTTTCCAACCAAATGATTCTGTGATTCTGTAAGCGATAGGATGAGAGGAAATGGCCTCAAGTTGCACCAGGGAAGGTTTGAATTAGATATTAGGAAAAATTTCTTCATTGAAAGGGTTGTGGGGCATTGGAATGGGCTGCACAGGGAGGTGATGGAGTCACCACCCCTGAGTTATTTAAAAGACAGGGAGATGAGGTGCTTAGGGACATGGTTTAGTGGTGGACAGGCCATGGTTGGACTCGATGATCTTAAAAATCTTTTCCATCCAAACGATTCTGTGAAACCTGCTGCTATGGGAGGCAGCGAGGTCAGACCGGAGGGGACCTCCCCGGCACCTGCCTACGTGGTGCCTCTGCCATCTTCCTCAAGAGCCTGTGACTGCAGCCTTCATCCTCCCCTCGCTGAAGTGAAGCTTTGGTGTCTCTGTGGATGGGATGAGCGGAGGCTGCAAGGCGGCTGTGAGCGCAGTCACGGGAAGCAGAAGGTCAGGCAGGGTGGTTTGCTCCATGTCCTCAGCGTCTCCATGTTGACGTACAACTCATCCAAGTTGAGTTCCTGGGCCTCACACAGTACCTGCAAAGCAGGTTTTTGGGTGGATAACTCCCTCCATCTCCGCACACGCCTGCCCTTCCCGCCAGCAGAGCAGCCCCTCTCTGTGGGACTCCGCAGATCCTCCCACGTTGTTTCGGTGTCGCTCCGTGCCCATTAACGGGCGGCTGACTGGAAATGGCTCTTTTTGCTGGGCAGAGGCTGAAGGAAGGGTTTTCACCTGAAGGTCATGACTGTGGCTCGGCTTCCTTTAGTGATGCTGCTTGACTCGAAGCCTCTCATTTGGGGGCATCTGCTTGCCTCTTACTTTATTTTTTTCCTTCTTCTTCATTTTTCCCACTTCTTTGTCTTTTCTTTTACAGAAAAGATTATTCAAATGAATATTCAGTTTTATTCATTTGAATAAAAAACCCAACCGTTTGACTCTGTTAAATGCTTATCTCTTAAATAGAGCTTGTTAGCTTCCAATAATAGCTTCATTCAGAAGGATGCGGTATAATTTCATTTTAAAATGTGTGCTCCTTGACAACCAGAATCCTATTTATGTCACCATTTTAAACAGCCTTCTTTGTTTTGTGTTAATCTTTTTCATACACTTTCCCAGAGCCATTTTTTTGTTGACTCTTAGTACCTCTCAGAAAAAATAATTGTCTATTTAGTCCAGGAAGGTTTCTACGAGTTTTGGTAATTTAAAAATGAGCATGTATTCATTATACTGACTAATACGGCAGGCATGCAGTAATATTTTTGTGTGCTGAAAGTTGGAACCTGATATTCAAAACGTGAAACAAAAAGGGACCCATTACCAGTCACTTTTATGAAGTTCTTCATTCTGAGGCATATGATCTCTTGGGGATTGTTCATTTAAGGAGTGATAGCGTCTCCTGAATAGCATCCTATGGATTTTAAGTGCCTGGATGTGCACAGTTTACAATCCCCTGTTCGCTTTCCTGTCAGTAATGGTAAAAGTAAAACATCACAAGGCTTTGGCTACAGATCGAGTGCCTGAACCTGCAAGCCCCCGCACGCCCCAGCCGCCCACCAGGTGTGCTCCAGAGAGGACGGAGTAAAAGATGGTGTTGGTTTTCCTTACAGACCCCATCACGTCTGTGTTTTCGTGCTGAGCCAGCTAGACTGGTCTGTGCGAAATGGCATAGATCTTTTAAAAACCTGCAAATGAGACTTGACACCTATGGATTGTTGTTTTATTCTTGTTATAAAATCAGTAAATACAGAAAGCTGGGTGGTGATCTGAGTTAGTCAGACAAATAGTTTCTTGATAAACCTGTGTTGAAGCCATATGGAGTGGGATGAGAACAGGAAACTCTTTTCCCAGTCCAAATGCGTAACGACTGCAGTGGGCTTTCTCGGGTGTTATGCATATTAAGGTTAATCTCCTCCAAATTCCCTCCGTCTCCTCCATCCTGGCAGTGAGACCTGACCAGAGTTGAAAGAGAAATCCTCAACTGCAGCACTCGCTAATGAGTTGCTAATGATGAAGATATTGCTAGTGCTCAAGCAATTAATGACTTGTGGACCCGGATGGGCCGTCTCATTGTGCTGGGCAAAGCTGGTCCCCGGCCATGCTGCTCCTGGCTCCGGCAATTGCCCAGCACGGTGCGCTCCAGGATTCCTGGGATGCCGTGTTCAGCCGGTTAACCACAAAAATCTGAGCTGTAACTGCAGGTCTGTGTAAGGTAGCTTTAAATGGAGTAATTTAAAAGGCAAATGAAAGACTTAAGTAAAATACTTCAGGCTGCTACATGCTTTAAGTGCAAAGTAAAATAGTGTTCTGGGTGCTGGGTTTGAGTGTGACGTGCTGTCAGATGATGTGTTATGCCCTGGAGGAAATCTGGAAACCATTTCTGGTGGTTTTTTCCCCAAGAAGAGGGTCCACAGAGGGATGGGAGCATTCCCCATCGCTGCGCGTCCTGTGCATTCCCAAATGCGCTGGTGGGGAGCTGCTGGGACCTCGCCTTGAAATGTCCTTTACAGCTTCATGGATTGTAGCCTGCAAAGTGTATCTCGTACCTGTAGGTTGCCAAAACCCTGTATTAATATTTTCTGGTGTGCCCTATCAAAGCAAACCTACAGTGTGTTTAGAACGGGACCTGGGCACGGAAGCTGCTGCCGCATCCTCACTGGGTGCGCTGGGTCAGGCAGCGGCGGTGCCATGAAGATGTCCCATCCCGTCCCTGTTCAGCAGCACGGAGTCCAGCAGAGTTCTCGGTGCAGTTTTGGGGGTGGAGTTCGTCCTGGTGTTAAGTTATTGACATTTCATTAGCTTAATTGGTGTCGATGTTGACTTATCAAGACTTTTGCCAGAAATGTTGCACTTTAGGTTGTTTTTTTGTTTGTTAGCTTGATTTTTATTTTTGTTTTAAGGAAGGTGCAGGGAACGTGACTGTACAGCCGTGGTGGGCTGCTGGGTTTCTTTGTGTGGCCTCAGCAGAGCAAACCCAGAGTACAGCTACAGGCAGACAGCAAAAGGCCCAAAACAGCCCAAATCCACGGCTCCGCTGGAGCGGCAGCGGCAGAGAGAGGAATGATTAGATCAGAGGCCTTCAACGTAATGGTTTGTGGGAGGCCTCAGGATGTCCTGATGAAGCATTAGAGGAAGTAATTCAGGAAGAAAGGGACAAATAACCACCTCCGGAGCCCGGCTGTGTCCGCGTGGGACGGAGCTGTGGTGGGGATGTTCGGTGTTTGCTCAGAGCGAATGGGGACACAGAGCACTGCTGCGTGTTCGGGGGTTTTTCCCTCACCAGGAGTAGTGAGGGGTAAATGAGGAATCATCTTCTGTCTTCCCGGATTTGTATTTTTTTGGATCATGTAATGAGTCAACTCTAATGGAGAAGTCCTGTGGTATTAAACAAGAGATAAAATCAATATGGTTCCATAGAAATATAATTGGGTTTTGTAGAGATTGCTCTTAAAAACCTATAAGGTGTAAAAGAAAATACGGCCTTACTGTAGTTTCTGAGCCATCATGTAACTGGGCTGTAACTATCCATTAAATTCTGCAAGATGGATCAAAAAAATCCATAAGGAGGTTTTAATTCTCCATTAAATCCTATGGAAGAGCTGGAACAGAACCGTATTACTTTTCCCTGAGACAATGCTACTTCCGTCCATTAGCCTGTAACAAATTCAGCAACAGCTCCATAGACAGCAGGTGTATTGACGTACATATTTTTATGAAAGTTTTCCAAATTCCCAATGGCTAAGTAATGCTTTATTAACATTAAATTGTTTAACTTAACTAATGTTTCCCTTTCCCCCTCCCCTTTTTGTTTTTTTTTATTAAATAGGATTTGGCTTCGTAACTTTTGAAAACGAAGACGTGGTGGAAAAAGTCTGTGAAATTCATTTCCACGAAATCAATAATAAAATGGTAAGTTGGTTTCGCTCCGCAGCGCACGGCGGGGGCAGCGAGCTCTCCTCCTTGGTCCCAGACACGCGGCGTCCCTGGGTGGTGGCCCCTGGGGACGACCTCCTCGTGGGGTGGTGGTTACAGAGCGCGTGCTCCCGAAACAGCCGTTCCGGTCCAGCTCCCCGTCCTGATGCTGCTCTGCTGGTCTGTGTCCCTCGGGAAGCCGGGGCTCGCTGCCATCAAGCCACAGTCGCCTTCCCCAGCCCAGGAGCCAGACCTGGGTGAAGTTTCTCCTCACTGACAGTCAGGTCCCAGGTTGCAGCTTGCCCTGTCAGTAAAGCCACTGAGCCAGATGGAAAAGGGCATTTATATTTCAATTGATGTGGTAACTTTGATATTTTCAGCTAAAATATTCTTTTTCCCTTTGTCAAAATATCCTTTGCTACTCAAATGTGTATTCAGATATGCATTGTATATTGGTCTGATATGTGTTCACAGGCTTTAAATTCAATAATAGAGCTTTTAGTGTGGATAAGATCAAAGCAATCTCCTTGGCATATGCTGAAGGCCTGATTCAATATTTGACTTGCTAATTTTTCCCAAGGCACTGAAATAATATTCTTCATATTGTTCCTCACAGCAATACGCATCTGACATAAAAGTAAGGGCCCCCTTGGGGAACTGAGCAGTGGGACAGGGCCATTCCCCTTGCAAGGCGGGAAGCTTCTCACCCCGTTTTTGGTGGGTGCTGCCGGCTTTGCCTCTGTTCTGTCCCAGCATCTCGCTGCTTCCCCAGCCTCCTCCTGCTTCTGGGTTGTGGGAGAGGCTTATTGCCCTCTTTAGAGTCACTAAATGCTGGTTAATTTTCCTTAAAACAAAGCAAAAAGAATGAATCCAAATCATCCCCACTCCAGCATCCAGGTGACAGGCCCAGCAACAGATTAGAAATGCTTGGAACATAGATTTAGGTAAGATTGTTAGTTGGGAGGGAAGAGCTTCAGGATTTTCCTACTGCTCCATCACAAGTGGGCATGTGTCACGTCGTACCCCACGGGTTTAGTTATTCAGTTATTTTAGTTACTATTTCACAACATAGGTTTTTCTCTGGAGCCAGGCTCAGCCTTTGCCTGGTGCAGACCAGCGTTGCCCAGTTTGTCCTGGTGAGGCTGGCAGCAGGGCACTGGTGTGTCCAGTTGAAACCAGTGCCAGCAGCGGGGCAGAGCGCATTGTTTGATCCTTCGTAGTGGGATCTGCACTCATGCACAGTGAAAATCTACCCGGCTGTTGGCACACCAGTGGGAGACCTGTTGGGAGAGCTTCTCCCCAGGTGAAAGGGAAGGTGACAGTGGTGTGGGGATCGGGGAGGGTGGGACAGGGCAAAAACCCTCAAGGCACACCACAGGGAGCAAAAGAAGCTGCGTGGGCCATTGACGTTTTGTTGTCACAGATAATTAAAAGATGGTCCTGTGCTCTCCGTGCCTGCTTGGTACACAATCCAGGTGCCACCATGCTTTGAGCCTTCTCTTCTTGTCACTTCTTCTACGGCACTGATTTTAAAAGCAGCCTACAAGGGAGGCGATGAGACACGATGGTGGTGTGGGACTGACTCCTCGTGCTGCTGATGTGTCTGCAGGTTAATTCCCAGCCCGTGCAGGGTTGTGTGTGCACGCCGGTGTGACAGTGAGCTGGTGCAGGTGGCCGGAGGTGACATGCAGCTGCCTGAGGGTCCCTGTTAGGCATGGATGTATTTTCTGTAGCGTCCTCAGGGTCTGACTGCCTCTGCTTTGCTTTTCATGTCGTAGCACTGAGCTGTGAAGGGGACGGGCTCTTGGAGCTGGGGGTGATGGAGTTTGCACCCACTTGGTGAACTGGAACAAGGACGCTCCATCCCCGTCCCCATCCCTGTCCCCATTCCCTTTCTGCTCAGCTGGGGCATCCGTGGCTCCACGGGCACCGACCTGCCCTGAGCTCGCTCTTTCTCATCTTCCAAGTGCTGTCATTTCCCAAAACGCGGGGGCAAACAGAGGGTAGCAGGGTCGCTGCTGTTGACAAGGCTATTTTGAGCCTATTTCCAGCCTCCCATTTCCCTGGCAGGCTATTTTTATCCCACCCATCCTGCTTCTGTTGCCATCTGTAAAGCGTAGAATGTCAAATGTAATATTAAACGAGCAGCGTGAAAGGGGGAAGAAAATGCCAGTGAGGCACTTAATAAACGTAACTTGGAATTTACGTGGGAGGCCAAAGGTGCTCTCCAAACGTTGCAGGGGGGAAACAAATAAAACCCAAACAAGCTCTCCCCAGCGTGTTGTTCCTTCGACGTGAGCAGGCTGCTTTGCAAAGAGAAACCTGGTTTTCTGAGGGGGTGCAAAAGCAGCTGGAGAAGAAATGTGATGGAGTAATTTATTTTCCTTTAGATCCCACTGTGGTAGTCTCGTTCACATCACAGGTACAGTGGGACAAGTGCTCACCCATAGCTGTTGACTTCTCTCACAGCCTGAGGACACGGCGTGCCCTTGTCCCCACCCCACCTTTGTCAGTGATCTAATGGACTTTTTTAAATACGCTTTATCACGGTTCTTCTGTTGCCTGCTGTAGACCTGCCTTAGCAGTAGGACCAGGCAAATACAGATTTCTCTGTTGGAGGAGTTGGTAGTTTTGCCGTGGCGTGAACAACGTGGTGTCCTCGAGGTAACTGAATCTCAACTGTGAGTCGCGCCTTGCTGGCAAGACAAAGTTGCCTTGTCTTTGGGTGGCAAAATGGGGTTTTGTGCATTGTGAATACGTGCGCGTTCTGCTTGCCTCCCAGCAGCCCTGCTTTCCCGGGAAAGCTGTTAGCCGTGGGGTTTTTGAGACATCCTGGTGCTGGGAGCTGAGAGCCCGTGTTGTTGCACAGGGTATAAAAGGCTTTTCACTCCCCTTCTCAGCTGTCCTGGGTTCCAGTGGCTTTGACTGCTGTGCTCGACCCAAGGGTACCCCGGTGTAACGTTAATTCTCCAAACTAGACTAAACAAAAATAGTGAATTTTAGTTTCCCTGCCTTTTTTTTTTTCAACCTTAGAGTTAAAACTTTCTTTGTTAGGCTGCTGAAAGTGAAGCACATCCCTCGTACAGAGGAGGTGGAAAAAAATCTGGGAGTTACTAAGATGTACAGAAATGCTGAGCTGAACGTTTGTGCCAGACCCAGATTTATGTACAAAGTCCCCGCATCGGGCAGGCTCTCGGGTGATTCGGAGCAGAGCTGAGCACCAACTCGTAAATCCAGGCACATTCCTAAAAATGCCCGTCCCGCGTTGCCGACACACGTGTGCCGTCCCTACTGCCTCCAGGGTCTCATGCCACATAACCGTGGCTGTGGGGTGGTTACGGCCGTCTCCATCCCATCCCCACAGAGGACAGCGCTGGCATCTTGCAGAAAAGCAGCCTGGCCCTATTTTTTTTTCCATTTTTGCCGCCTCTGTTGACGAAGGGTACGGTCCAAGCCCAGCGCTGATTCCCTGGCATGCTGCTTCACCTCCTGCTGACGCATTTTCCCCATTTGCCGACAGGACGATGCATGGGCAGCTCCTGCTGAGCACCTCCACGTTGGGAACGCGAAGGGTGAAATCCCACCCGAGGCTGGGCGCACGCAGCCCCTTCCCAAGGGATGGCAGAGCTGGGCTCCTGGTCCCGTACCCTGCATATCCTTCCTCCCATGGGAAACAGCCTCTGCTAGAGAACAGAGCATATTTTTGCCCCTGATATGGGGTATATTTGTTTACAAAGGCTTAGGAATTATTTTTCTTTACTACTGATGGCTTTTTCTTCCCCTTTAAATCCCAGCTGAAACTTCTTTGCAGCTCGCTGCCATTCGCTTTATATCCTCGTGTGCTGTGAAAATCATAAATTACGCTAGTCTTTCAGAGAGCAGCAGTAGGCTGTTTTGTGGTTGCAAAAGCTAATTACTGGGTTATTGTTTCTAACGGTGCTAATCCAAACTTCATTTTCCTGTTAATTGTCCGTTGAGCCAGGCTAGATTGTTTTTCTCATCCCGGCTGCTTGCAGCGCGAGCGGCCGCGAGGTGTAACCAATGCCACCGTGACATTTGGAGCGGTGGCGAACCCGAAGAGCACACTTGTGGAATGAAATAATGCACTTCTGGTGCTCCCCCCGGCTGTTTGGCTGGAGAAATTAGGTTGGCATAGTCCTGTTAAATGCCCCTCTGATGAGAAATCAGCAAAGGAGGGTTTCGGGGGACGTTGCGGAGTGGTGGAGAGGGAGGGAGGTGCTGAAGCTTGGTGTTTCGAGATCGCTGTGTCCCTGGGGGGGTGGATGGAGAGGGCAGGTAGTGGCAGGCTGCCTGCTTTGGGCTGTGGGGCTTTCAGGGGCCACCAAGGTTTCAGGGGTGGGCAGACAGCCCAATTAGGCTGAAACCCGCCATTGAGGCTCAAGGTTAGTCCTCCCTGGGGAGCTCTGAAGGCTTTGCCTCACGAGGCAGCGGCTTCTTGAGGAAGGCCTTGATGGGAAGTTTCCTGCCTTTCTCCCTGCAAGGACCCAAACATTTTTTGGCAGAAAGGTAGCAAAAGTTGAACTCTCAAAGAGTTTAACTGCAAACTTCTCAGGGCTGGGGCTGTGTTGGGGCACAGCATTGGCAGTGTCTGAGCATTGTGGCTTTGGAAAGTGTTGCAGGCAGGTGAAGTAAACCTGGTCTGTGGAGGTTTGCAGCAGAAAGGGGAGGAGTAGGTGGGTTTGTTTCAAATACTCCCATTACAGGCAGTTAACCTTTATGTTACCTAAATGAAAATTGTATAAACCTGAAATTTTCGCTGATGGGGTTGCCTAGAAACAGGAGGTGGGTTTTTGTAAGACAATGGACACAGTCACTGATCGGGCTATTAGGCACCAAGATGTTCAAGCCATATTATCTCGCATCCCCGGTTGGCCTGGGTTGATTGCCTGCTCGCCCTGCTCGTGTGGGTGGTGGAGGTGATGGAGCAGTGGAGGTGATGCAGGAGACGTGGTCCTGCCTGGGGACAGCCCTCCCCGTGCGCCGTGATGAGCAGCCCCACTCCTGAGCCCCTGCCTGCTGGCTCCAGTGTGGAAATCACAGCATCGTTGAGGTTGGAAAAGGTGTGCAAGATCATCACGTCCAATCATCAACCCAACCTCACCATGCCCACTAAACCATGTCCCAAACTGCCATATCGACGCCTTTTTTTGAACGCCTTCAGGGATGCTGACTCCATCAATCCAGTGACATCCCTTGTAGCCTGTTCCAATGTTTGACCACTCTTCAGTGAAGAAATTTTTCCTCGTCTCCAGTCTAACCCTTCCCTGGCACAACTTGAAGCCATTTCCTCTCATCCTGTTGCTTGTTCCTTTCAGAACAGACCAACACCCACCTCACTATCCTCTCCTTTCAGGGAGCTGTAGAGGATGGTAAGGTCTCCCCTCAGCTTCCTCTTCTCCAGGCTGAACCCCCCCAGCTCCCTCAGCCGCTCCTCATTCGTGCAAAGATGAGGAGGAACTGGTTAAGAGCAGAGTTAGAGGCAGAAAGCTCAGACCTCGAGATGCAGCTCAAGACCTTGTCACTGTGCAGACCATGTGGGTGGGCAGGCGGTGGCACAGCTCACGGCTTCCCCGTGCCACTGCGTCTGTGCACATCTTCCTTTTGCTGAGTGTGTGGACAAAGATGTAGAGCCCCAGAAATGGGGTGGGATAACTCCAGTTAGCTCCAAAACGGCTTACTGGTGTGGCTGCAGGGCCAGTGCTGAGGGCAGCGCGGGCAGAAGTCAACAGTACCGGAGCTAGAAAAAAATAGAAAAATGCTTTTATTTTTCCCTTTTCCTATCCAAAAAGAGACTGGGAAGCAGCGCCTGGCGGCGTGGCTGGGGATGCTGACTGTCGGGGGTGTCCTGCTGCCAGCTGGGCTGGACTTGCAGGTGGCAATGAGACACTTCCCAAGGCAGGAGGAGTAACTGGCAGTGAAAGAGTGCAGGTCGTTTATTAATAGAGTTTACAGAAATTTTCTGCTGGGTAGAAATATTGATTCTTTATTCCTATTTTAAAATAAGCTTTTTGTAATGATCACTAAGAGTCATTTTCTGTTATCGATTGCAATCGAGCTGTGCTGGAGCCCTCCCTCCATTCATCCCACGCCCACGAGCGCCATTGAGAGGGAAAAAAAGGGTTTTTCCTTTCAGGAACTTCTTAAATCAGCATTTCTGTCACCTTTCCGGTGGGGTTTCGCTTTGTGTGTTTAAAGAGACAGACACGTTTGCTCTTTTAAATCCGTTTACACTATTCTTAAAGTTCATCTGTGAGGGGGAGGCGGTGTGGGGAAGCAAATGCTAAAAATAAAACTCTCCCCCCCCTTAAGTAGATCAGTTCTGCATTTGACATTTACATGGAATTCATTTGCATCTCATTTGTCCATGTTTCTGCTCAATAGGTAGAATGTAAGAAAGCACAACCTAAAGAAGTGATGTTTCCGCCAGGGACGAGAGGAAGGGCCCGTGGATTGCCGTATACCATGGACGCGTTTATGCTGGGGATGGGAATGTTGGGTAAGTGCCGTCGCCCCCCCGATGGCTCCCGGAGCCACCAGCTCCCCTCTCCTCTCCCTGATTTCCCAATGCTCCAGGCGTAGGGGTGAACAAGTCCCTGCACCCGTGTGGGTGCCAGTCTAAAACTTCAGCAGGGGTGGAGTGGGGAAAAATAATCCTGTCTGTGGTAAATTATTAACTTCAACACCCCCCCCCCCCCCCCCTCCCCGAATAAAAAATTTGCATTTAAATGGATGTTTTAAATAGCCTGTTTTACTCTTACTCGCAAAAATAGAATGATGAAAGATGCAGTGTGTTCATTCTGACTAAAAATGATCTCTCCCCTTTTTTAGAGGAATTGAGTCACACATTATTCCCCTTCTTTTAAAGGTATCTTTGACAGTTCAGCATAGATAATTGAAAATCTTGCTGGTTCTCAAATGGCATGCAAGATGGAGAAAGCAGGGAGATGCGTAACAGTACAGGTCTCAACAATAATTACAAGTTTCAAGGAGATGGAATGGTATTTTAGTCCAGAGTATTGTGTCCAGGAAATACTAATTAAATGGGATAAATTATATTTAATGGCAAAATTCTATTTGTGCACAAGGTCTGTTTAGTTATAATTGGTTCTCATTTGTTTCTGACGGGATAGTTCTTCCTTCTATATAATGTGACAACCTCTTGATACTCTTGTCCTCAGATTTACTGAGCTAAAACGCTGCTAATCCATTGCCAACGTACTTTTGTGAAACCCCAGATATTTCCAGTTTTCTCCTCCCTTTGCATCACTGGACTTTCCCTCAGTTGTCACCTGCCGTGTCCCTAAAGCACGCATGAAACAGAGGGCGTCTGGAGGTGTTCCCCGGCAGAAATGAGCCTTTCCCAGGCTGATGTCCCCCCTCTGCAGCCGCTCTGGGATGCTTTGAATTTTCTTCCCCGGTTTCGGATGATCTCAAAAGCTGAGTACAAAACCCAGCCTCGAAAGCCGGCGCTGGGCTGAGGAGGCCCTCTGAGGTGCTGGAGGACCCCGGGACTCCTGGGGTGGGTGTCAGGGCAGGGGCCTGGGTTCCCATCAGGGTCAGGCTGAGATGTCTGACTTCAGGCAGATAGGAAAAACTTTTCCTGCCATGTTTGCTTTATCTCTGAATTAATAGTACTGCTGTTCACGTGGCTGCAGTGATCCATTTCTGGGATGCATAATTCAGTTATTTCAGCTGATCCATCTATTTTTCTGTCCCCACACTCCACTGCCACCCTGCCCCATAGTGTTTGCAAATTACATTTTATGTTTATAATATTTATCTTCTCCTAGTTGATCTGTGACTTTGTTCCCTGAATGTTCCCAGCATGCCTGAGCGTATGTGCTGTGTTTCTGTTGTTTCTCTTTCTTTCCCGCTGGTGGTGCTGAGGTTTCGGGTGGTGGAGGTGGTGCATGCAGCCTCACTGGTCAGTCCTGCATGGCTGCTGGAGCAAAACGACCCAGGGCAGCCACCTCGTCCTCTGCTCCCCGGGGACAGAGCTGCCTCAACCCTTCTCCGCGCAGCTGGGCAAGGAGTGAGCGGAGCCAGGGTCCACCCCAGTGACCCAAATCATTGAATCACTGAGGTTGGAAAAGACCTCCAAAATCACCAAGTCCAACCGTCAACCCACCCCCTCCGTGTGCACCAAACCATGTCCCCAAGTGCCACATCTGCCCGTTTTCTGAACACCTCCAGGGATGGCGACTCCACCACTGCCCTGGACAGCCTTAACAGAAAATTGAGCCCTCGGATGCGGTGCCAGTCGTTTCCATCAGGGCTGCCTCTCTGGAAAAAGCTGGTTTCAAGCTGTAAGCAGTAATGGAGGAAGCCCTCAGTGAGTGAATCTGCATCTGTGCAGAGCAAGAACCACGGGTGCCTGTTGGCAAATCCCCATCCCACTGCGGTGGGGTGGGTCGGGTCACCCCGACCGGCTCCACTCCAGCCGCTCTCGCAACGTGCTCTGATTAGTTTTCAGATCAGGGTGACTTGCTCAGAATTAATGATTGATTGGTGTTGAAGGCCAGATGCTTCATTATCTGCTTGAGCTGGTTTTTTCATCTTCTGAGTTCCTGCTTGCTACGGTGGCACCGTGTTAAATAATTAAGTGCTAAACAAGGAAATCACAACGCAGGAAGGCAAGGTTGGCTGGATGACTGCTACCAATCCCCATTTTCAAAGGCTGCCTCTAAGAGTTGGCTTCAAGGGGTCTGAGGGACAGTGGCTCAGTGGGGAGCCCCAGATCTCTCCTTCCCAAGCCCTGGCAGCTGCGCAGTGGTGAGGCCCCGTCCCGCCGAACAGAGGAGGGTAATTAACCCGGAGGAACAAACAAAGGAACCGGAGGCAGCATCTGCAGTAGCAGAGGATTTTTCTGAGATCCCAGGAGGCTGGTGTCAGCCCTGCCCCGATGAGATGCCTCGCTGGACCAAAACAGCACGTTTTGGGCTGCTCAGAAAGGATTTTTATACCTGTTTCCAGAAGCCCTTGTTCAAGGTCACCTTCTCCAGATGCCGTTCACAGGCAGAGGAGGGAACCGGAGGAACAAACGCACGAGACAACCCAAAGGAAAGAGCGAAGAGCGACTCCCTCCAAGGCTATTAAGGAAGTTGGTCTTTTTCATTAATCACAGCCTCCCTGAGGAGCCCACAGCGGCCGGGGTCTAAAGGTGCGCAGGCAGCCGCTTCTGAGATGATTTGGTTGATTGGAACAAAATTAAAGTGTTCCTTCGGAAAGGATTTTTAGACTCTGAGAGTGTGAGCAGGCTGAGCCTTTTGCTGGGGCTGCTTTCGAGCTGTCTCAGCCTGGGTCTGCTGATGGGCCACGCGTGGTCTCAGAGGAGAACAGAGATGTTGATTAGCCACTCTGCATCATGAGCGGGCCAGGGCAGTTTCAGTTCCAGTGATCGACCGCTCCCTGGCAGCCCCCCTGGGTCCCTCCCCAGCCTCGTAGATGCTCCTGGAACAGGCACCGTGTGTCCCCCAGCCCCATGGTCCTGGTGCGCAAACCAGGAGCCCCATCACCCAAGGGTGTGTGGGTGTCGCTGCGTTGCCCCACGGCTTTTTGCCCTCCCTTCAGGTGTGTACTTGAAAACTTGGAAAAAAAGAGAGAAAAGAAGAAAGCAGGGGAGAAGTAACATGAACAGGAGGTCATCTCTGTCTGCCCTCCCATCCAAAGCAGCTCTCCGCGTCGTGGTGGTGCCCGGCTCTGGGGGTCGCTGCTGTGCTGCTGGGGCCCACAGCGCTCATTTCTTCTGGCCACGAGCATCTTGGCCTTGCTGGTGTTTAATATTAAGGCTGAGTTCTTTCTAAGTTGCAAACTCTCCAGAGACAGAAGCACTTGGCCTGCAACGTTTATACCCCAAGTGCCGAAACGATGTCTGATGTGGACACCCGATCTCAGAAAGTCTCTGGTGTCTCTGCACGAGGCAGAGCAGGGCTCTGTGTTACCGCACATAGCCCAGGTAGACTGCACTCATGCCTGAAAGCAGCTTGTGCCCTTCAAAGAAAGTCATTCCCTTCTTCCATCAGGCTCTGGAACAGAGCAGCAGCTGCCTCTGAGGCAGGATTTGGGAAATTCGAATTTGGGCAGCAGCCGTGGTAGCCACCACTGATGAACACGGCTGTGGGCAGCTTCCTAATCCCTCTGCAGCAGGAGATGGGTTGGCTTCGTTGGTCCAAGGGAGAAACTTCTACAGCACGTGTTTCTTCTCCGTAGCTACTCCCCAGTGCATGACCACCCCCGTGTGTCTGCAGGAGAGGATTTTTGGGTTGCGGGTGCTTATGTCAAGGTCACAGCACGTTTCTTCTGAGAAAGACCCTGAGCATTTTTGTTGCAGCACAAGACTCTGCTTTGACAGAAGGATGCTGCCTTTCCTTGCAAAAGACCTGGTGCAACACTGGGAGACAATAATTTGCTTGCATTTACTGGAGCATTGGAATTAATTTTGCGGGCCCCAGTGTGCCCACTGTCCCCACATATTAACCATAAGTTTTGTCCATCTCAGTTCACCAGATTTAAAAAGGAAAGGACATTTCCATAGCCTGGTTCAGTGCTTGTGGACGCTTTCCCTTGTGGAGCAGGGAAGCCGTGGAATGGAGGGGAGCTGGGAGCTGACCCGGCTCTCCTGCCTTTCCAGTGACCTTGTGCACGCACGATGGCAAGCTGCTCCTCTGCAGGGCCACGGTTCCCCTGTGCAGAATAGATGGTGGAGGTGGTAGCATGAAAGCTGCCTGGGTTGTTGGTTTGAGTTGTGCTTCCACGGACAGGAGAGTCTCGAGTCAGAGAAGGTAATCCAGGCGAAACTCGGATTTCTGGTTTAGCAACAAGGGATAATTACAGCGATTGATCATGCCCTCGACTGCTGAAGCAAATAAACGGTTCGGTGCCCGATGCAGGATGAGAATGGCATCTAATGGAAATGGTGGGTAGGTCAGCGTAGCCATAATTTGGCTTGATGAAGCATCCACATGGGCATGGTGTTAATGCGCTATTGATATTCAGCCAGGCAATTTCCCCTGCGCGGATCCAGGCTTTGACTTGTTAGAGCAGAGCTGGGCACTGCAGCAGTAAATGAAGAGGAAAATTGAAGTAATGTTGTATTATAAATTTTTTATTTCATCTGCCTGGCCCAGAGAGCGTTGAGCGCTGGTGATGCAGGTGAGAGCTCCCCATCAGGCGCAGCCAGGTTTGGCTTGGGAGAGCGGGTCTGCT